AAGTATGATGGGAGGCGCTTAGGGCCCGCGCATTTTCAACTGATTTCGATAGTTTTCCGTCGTTTGATTTGTAATTTAAAGATGTTGATAACTAACAACTTGTATTTATTGTTATTTCCTAATGTTACATCAGTAAACCAGTGATTTGTTAATTGATAGACTTAAAAAACAAAATCAGATTCGTCAACTCGAGTACAATTCCTAGGAATGGGGGTGGAGCCGCACCTGTGGCACAGCGTAGAAGCATCGGCAGAGCATCGGCAGCGTTGCTGTCGCGATCGGCCCGGAGAAGTGTCGCAAATGAAAAAAACGACACTTTATAGTGTAATTAGACAGTTTCTTGGCATCGGAAAAAAGGCCTAATAATGATATTGATAATAAGTGATAATAACAATAACAACAATAATGATACCAATAATAATGACAATGATAATAATGAAAATAATACTAATGATTGAAGTGATAAAGGTATGAGTAACAATAATATTGCTTATAATGAAGATAATAATGACGATCATGTTGATGATGGTATTAATTATAAAGTAATGACAATGATTATGATGATGATGGTTGATAATGATAACGATAGTAATAATAATAATGAAAATAATAATAGCGATGATGGTAATTGAAATAATAGATGAGAAAACGTATAATGAAACCAATAACAATAACAACAATAACACATGAAATTATAACAATAGTAATAATAATTATGATATATGACTATAACATTAAAATTATAATGATAAAAATAATACTATCAGTGATGATGATAACAACGGTAACAAGGAAAATAATAATGAAAATGATAAAATCAATAATGACAATCAAAATGATAACAGAAATACACCAATAATGATAATGATAGTAATAATAATGATAATGTTGCTAATGATACTAATGATTAATTATTATTGATCAATTGGATTAATAATAACCATGATGGTAATATTTGCGATAGCAATAACAATATAATAATAGTAATAGGTAATAGTAATCATAATCATTATCATAATGATAATAAAAATGAGGATGATGGTGATAATAATAAAAATGAGGATGATGGTGATAATAATAAAAATGATAATGTTAATAATACAACAAAAACAATAATAATAATAATAATAATAATAACAACAATCATAATCATAATAGGATGGTGATGATGATGATAATGATAATAATGATATTGGTATTAATGATAATAACAATAATATTAACAATGATAATAGTAATGATAATAATAATAATTATAATGGCAATAATATGATAATAATAATGGTGATGATAATAATAACAATGATAATATTAATAGTAATAATAAATACATAAAACAAGAGTAAAACAATAATAACAGTAATATTAGTACTACAACTAATAGTAATAGTAATAATAATTAAAACAATGAGAATGAGGATAATCCATAACAATTAAAATAGTAATAACAATGATAGTAGAAATATTAATAATAACAATAATGATGATAATAATGATAACAATAATAAAAGTAATGGTAATAGTAATAATGATACTGTTAATGATGGTGATCATAGTAATAATAATGATGATAATGATAATAACAATAATAATGACAATGATAATAATAATAAATATAATTTTGATGATGATAATAATACAGATATAGATAATGAAGATAAAAACTAATAATAATAACAACAATAATAATCAAGATGATAATAATGATAATGATAATAATAAAACAAAAGCTTTTTCACTTACAATAGTGTCCCTGATAAACGTCAGTTTCGTACCACAAGCGAGACTCAAGACGTTTAGCTTCGGCAGTTCTGTGAAGGTTTGAGATTTTAGTCAGATGTTTCTGAGTAAATCAAATTCCCTCAGACTGTGATTTCTCTTTTTGTGATTATAACGTAACAGGGAAGAAATGATGAGTAAAATACAAAAGGGAATTTAGGAATACGTCTCAGGTGGCCGGTCATGTTACTTGTTCTCTACTTAAAATAGTATGATGAGGATGTGAGATTTTATTATAATAATTAGTGATTGAATGAAATTGTCTCAAGGTATGTCTCAAAAAAGGTTAAATAAATAAAGTCAATTCAGTGGAGAACCCTGACAATTGACTAATAAGATGAATAGTTCGTGACGAAAAAATATAAAAAAAGAAAAAAATATTAACAACAAATGACTCGAAAGTATATTCACTAACCGGGATTTGCTCCAAAGACCCCCGAAGAAGTAGCAGCCAGCTCCCCCTGGTGTTTTGGGAGCTCAACCGACTCTTTGCCTCTCAGTTCAGGAGCCTCCTCTTTGGACTTGCCCCAAAGGAAATCACTGATTACCTGCATGACTGTTGCGCTTTCTTTCGCGTCAATCAGAGGTTCCTGAGAATAATCCTCAACGTCTTTATGACGCTTATCCCCTTTCCCCCGAGGGGTAGCAGGTTCTTGGTCCGCAAACAGCACCCTGACCTTGACTTGGCTCTTGACCCCCATCACGTCCCCGGCCTGGCCCTTGACTCCCTTCACGTCCCCGGCCTGGCCCTTGACTCGCTTAATTTCCTCGGCCTGGCCCTTGACCCCCTTTCCCCGGCTGGCCTTGACTCCTTTCACGTCCCCGGCCTGGCCCTTGACTCCTTCACGTCCTCAGCCTGGCCCTTGGCCTGGCCCTTGACTCTTCACGTCCTCAGCTGGCCCTTGACTCCCTTCACGTCCCCTGGCCCTTGACTCCCTTCACGTCCTCGACCTGGCCCTTGACTCCCTTCACGCCTGGCCCTTGACTCCCTTCACGGCCTGGCCCTTGACTCCCTTCACGTCCTCAGCCTGGCCCTTGACTCCCTTCACGTCCTCAGCCTGGCCCTTGACTCCCTTCACGTCCTCGGGCTGGCCCTTGACTCCCTGACCAGCCTTCACCTGCAGCTCCGTGGTCGTCCCTCGCGCCTCCCCCTCCTCATGGGTCGTTCGCTTGGCAAATTCGTCACTCTCCCCCTTTTCCTCCGCGCAGTAGCTACAGCCTGAGGAGTACCTCTGGATGCAGTCTTCGCATACGAAAGGGAGGAGGACAAAGGGCGCCACTGGGGAACCCCCTCTCCGGCGCTTCACTTGGCTTCCAACTGCGTTACGTTGCTCCCGCTCGAGCTTCCGCTTGCCGTGGAGGCATTCGACGCACTTCGAGGAAGGCATCTTTGAAATTCTGAAAAGAAGGAAAATCACGTGTGTGTGTGTGTGTAAGGATATACAAACATACATACATACATACATAAACACATACACATACGCGCACACACACACACACACGCGTGTGTGTAATATCTAAATATTGATTTGATTCTAACGTCGTGTGGGGAATGGGATTATCAAAGAAACGTGAATTTAAGAAATGTGCGCATATATCATTGTATAATGCTTATATAAGTGTTTTGACTTTCTCCCTCTTTCTCTCTCTCTCCCCTCCCACCCTCCTCTCTCTCTCTTCCCTCCCCTTCCTCTCTCTCTCTTTCTCTCTCTCCCCTCCCACCCCCTCCCTCTCTCTCTCTTCCCTCCCCCTCCCCCTCTCTCTCTTCCCTCCCCCCTCTCTCTCTCTCTCTCTCTCCCTCTCTCTCTCTCCCTCTCCACTCTCTCTCTCCTCCCTCCCTCCTCCCTCTCTCTCTCTCCCCTCCCCTCTCCTCTCTCTCTCTCTCCCCTCCCTTCCTCTCTCTCTCTTTCTCTCTCTCCCCTCCACCCCCTCCCTCTCTCTCATCCCCTCGCCCTCCCTCTCTCTCTCTTCCCTCTCCCCTCCCTCTCTCTTCCCTCCCCCCTCCTCCTCTCTCTCTCTCTCCCCCTCTTCTTTCTCTTCCCTCCCCTCCCTCTCTCTCCTTCCTTCCCCCTCCTCTCTCTCCCCTCCCCCTCCCTCCTCTCTCCCCCCTCTCCTCTCTCTCTCGTCCTCTCTCTCTCTCTCTTCCCCTTCCACCCCTCTCTTCTCTCTCCTATCCCCCTCCCCCCTCTCTCTCCCTCTCCCTCTCCATCCTCCCTTTCTCTCTCTCTCTCTCCTCCCTCCCACCCTCTCTCTCCTCCTCCCACCTCCTCTCTCTCCCTCCTCTCCCTCCTCCTCCTCTCTCTCTCCCTCCCAAACCTCTCTCTCTCCTCCCCACCCTCCTCTCTCTCTCTCTCCTCCCCCACCCTCCCTCTCTCTCTCTCTCTTTCCCTTCCACCTCCCCCTCTCCCTCCCACCCTCCCTCCCCTCTCTCTCTCTCTCTCTCCCCTCCCCTCCCCTCCCTCCCCTCCCTCTCTCTCTCTCTCCCCTCCCTCCTCTCTCTCTCCCCTCTCCCCTCCTCTCCCTCTCCTCTCTCTCTCTATCCCCTCCCTCCTCCCCTCTCTCTCTTCCCTCCCCCCTTCACCTCTCTCTTTCCCCTCCACCCTCCTCTCTCCCCTTCCTCCCTCCTCATCTCTCGCTGTCTCTGCCTCTCCACCCCTCCTTCTCTCTCTCACCTCCCACCCTCCCCTCTCTCTCTCTCCCCTCCCCTTCTGTTTCTCTGTCTTCTCTCCACCCTCCCTCCCTCTTCCTCCGTCTCCGTCTTTCCTTTCCTCTTTTTTTTTCCTTTTCACTATTACGCCGTATATGGTTGCCGCTTAACTGATATTTTTTAACTCTTTGTTTGAGATTTGCCGATATATCTATATCTAATCTGTCTGTATGTCTATATATCTATCTCTGTCTATCTATCTATCTATCTCTGTCTGTATATCTATCTGTCTATCTGCCTATCTACCTATCTATCTGTCTGTCTGCCTATTTATCTATCTATCTCTGTCTGCCTATTTATCTATCTATCTCTGTCTGCCTATTTATCTATCTATCTCTGTGTGTCTGCCTATATGGTAATTTTCTATATTACCTTCGCTATCTATCTGCCTATCTATCCATCTATCTAGTTATCTTATCTTTCTATCTATCTATCTGTCTTTGTCTCTCTATCTATCTATCGAGCTGTTATTCTTCCATCCGTATTAACGTCTCAGTGTTAAGTTACTTGGCTT